AGGAAACATTAAACTCTTATTATTGGCATTAAAATCTTGTTCATTTAAAGGAATAACTGCCCTCACAGGACTCGCATAACTGCTATAAAAGATAATTATGCATAAACAAAATTAAAACCCGCAAAAGAAATTTCATCATCCGATTTAAAGACTGTTGAAACCATCCAACAGTCTGCAAACTGAAGCATTTCTGTTGTAATGTGACCGAGCAAAGATTAAATAAAGAACATTTACTTTGCAGCTTTTGTTTTCGGTGCTGTAGCCACAAATGTGGCTGGATGGGTAAAGACAATTACACCCATTGTCTGGCAGGTGCTAACGTGCAGAAACGTTTCACACAATCCCAGGAAGGCAAAGTGTCTGCTGGAATCACTGGACTGTGTTACCGACTGATTTCGGTGCAGCATTGAGCAAATGCAGCATTTCCAACGTGGGAAAATCCCCACAAACAATGTTCAGCTCAACACTTCACAGATCCAGAAAGATGGGCCAGATGTGCTGCAGAGGTGGACCAACATCTGACCTGGTCAACACCCGGTGTGCACCCTCTGCTCAAAAGCTCTCGCGACCAGACTCAGAAAGACACCAACAGACAGCTGCAAGAGCAAAACACCAATCGACGTCAACTGATGGAAAATAACACGAGGCTAAAAGGACAAAGAGAAAAGCTAATAAAGTTTACATAAATTATTTTAAAATATGATCGTATGATGAAATATCCCCGAGTATATCCAAGGGTGGACTTAAAATGCACCTCATCATGGTAGATTTTACAGATCCAGATGTGCAGATGTGACAGGACAGCAAAAAGAAAACCACCAAAACAAAGACAACAGCAGAAATTGCAGATATTAAAATCTAAGGCAAGAAGAGGAAAATGCATAACCTGCAATTACACTCACAACTACATGCTACGCATTTAAGGAGGAACTCCAGCCAACTGTACTGTGAAATATGAATTTCAAGCCCTGTATATGTATAATAGGAGCAGTTACACCAATTATTTGACATGCACTGAAGAGGAGAGGACATGTTTTCCAGTCTGCATCCCTGGCAGCTCCTCCCTCTCTGTGAGGACAGTGTGGTCCAGCAGTGCTTTGGCTTTGAGATGTGCAGCTGTAAGTTTATCAAAGGAAACTGGCATTCATATTTAACCGCATTCAGCTTGAGCGCATGGATGCTAGCGTTAGCCACACCATGCAAACTAATGTGACAATTTAGCAACATTTAAAATGCGGTTGCTTTTAGACTTCAGAGAATGCAACATCTAGGCAGTATTTTCTTACTTTCACTAACATCTTTAACTGTGCTTCACAATTTCTGTTTGCTTTATGCAAATGTGCAAGTTTAAGGCCTAAACTTCTGATCTTATTCACTCTTGAGCCTTCTGGAGGCAGTGTGGGCACACATTAGAGAGCTGCGGGACGGGAAGTGTCGTTTCTGTTTAACAGCACAGGTGACAGCGCAGAGTCAATGTAATGAAATATCTGAGGCATTAAGTCAGTGTGTCTGCACCAGCACGCAACCTGTCAATCAAGCCACCATGACGTCAGGCCTTATTAACATCCACTGCACCGACTTGTTTAATAAAGACTCTGAAAATACCTCTGCTCAGAGTCTGTTATGCAAGAAGGAAAAAGGGGTTATTCATTTTAGAGTTCTCTCTTTA